GGAATCATCGCTAAACGGGTAGGGGAAAGGTATTGGAACGCATTAAACTTCGTTTAATGCGTTCCAATACCTTCGTTACTTACCCGTTCAGCGAGGATTCCAGGTGCCGGCAGCCATTTTTGCGCCTTCGCTAAGCGAGGGCAGGGCGCGAAAACGGCTGCCGGCAGCCATTTCCGGGCTTCCGGTGGTCATTTTGGAACCGCCGATCAGCTGTTCGGCGGCTCCAAAATGGCCGCCGCAATACCCGATCTTCGCAATGCGGGTTTTCCCCATTGCGAAGATCGGGTATGTTTCCATATAGCGATCCCGAAAAAGGGATCGCTATACGGAAACATCGCTATACGGTGCACTCGTTAAGCGAGGCACCACTGTAGTTCCAAACTTGGAAATTTACAAATAAGAGGACAGTTAAGAAGCCTGCATGTTTTCACAAACCTTTCCACATGATTAGAAAGTCAGAAGCAATATGCTGATTCATGGAATGCACCCTGAATCCCAGCTGCCATCTGTTATTACAATTATAAGTGAACTGTTGAAAAACAGATAAAATACTATACAATAAGGCTTCAACCTAGGCCATGTAACACTAGAAGCCAGAAAAGTTATATGAGCAAGAATTGTTTCTCTCTGTCTCTCCCTTCTTCATATTGTCTTCAATAACATATCAGGCTTAAATCATACAGCATCTGTGCATCAATAAAGAAAACTACACAACTGCTGAAATGACTTGGAATACTAGACAGATTCTGGAAAATGCAAGGTAACCTACTTTATAATCCAAGCACTCATGACACATACATAGTAAAATATTGCAGCTTTCTAAATAAACTGTTGCTCTTTAATACATAAAAATGGATAATTAAATTTACCTGTTTTTTCTTCTGTGCTTCACTAGAATCTAGCACGGAAGTGTTAACAACAGGCAAAGTTTTCTGAGCTGCCTTCAAAGCAGCTGGGTTATACACTGTTTTTGTCAAGCCAGTAGAAGTAGACAATACCTATAGAAGGAAACCATTTTATTTTGCTGGCAAATGATGAGTAACTTTATGATAATTGCTTCAAAGTATGACTCCAAGAAGATAAATACCTGTTGCTGTGATTGTAAAAACACGAAGTAACCTTGACTCCTCATGTCAAGTTAAACAGAAACTTCTATTGACTGACTAAATCTAAAACCAGTCTTAACGAACATTTTATATAAGCTGTAGAAAACAATGGCTACTTTGAGAGAAGATATTTTTGGCTGGAAGAGACTAATGGACATTATTGGATGTCGTAATAATCCTTTTCTCCCCCATCTTTCCCCTGTTTTTTCCTTCCCCCCCTTTTTCTCCCCTTCTTTTTGGTAAGGAGGGTTGCTTTTTTTTCTTCCTTTTTTCTATCTTCCTTTGTTATAATATGGGTTTTTTTGGTTTTTGGTTTTTTTAATTATATGTATGTGTGTATGTATATGCATATATATGTGTGTGTGTATGCGAATATATTTGTTCTAATTTTCTTTCTTTGTGTGGCTTTTTGATTAGAGGTTTTTTTATTTTTGTGGTATGTGATTTTTGTTGTTGTTACTGTTTTGGATTATCTGACTAGATTGGGGTTGTAAAAAAGAAGAAAAGATATTAAAAGTTAGGAGGGAAGGCATTTGAATATATATATGGATAAATATATGAGGTGGGGTGAAATAGAGATGAGGGTTCAGCTGGGGTCCAGACTGGTGGGGGTGGTGTCTCCCCCCTCCCAGAGCTCGTGCCAAACATTAGTGAGACGTGGGGAAACGGGGGGGAAGAGTTTATATGTAGGTAAGGATAGGGATAGGAAATTAGAGGTAGGTGAACTTTTTTAAAAAGTTTTTTGTTTTTGTTACGTGGGATGCACAAAGGGACTGAATAAGAGGCAGAGGATGGAACGGATATGGGGAAAAACATAAGGGTAGCTACTTTAAATGTGAAAGGTCTAGGGTCTGTATTAAAGAGAAGGAGGATAGAATTATTATTAAAGAAAAGTAAAGTTGACATTATCTATCTACAAGACACACATCAACCAAAGGATGGAGTCAACGAACTGAAATTGCAAAACATGCATATATATGAAAAAAAAACATTTTGGACTTCTACATCTAGAGGGGTAGCAATATTACTATCTAAACATTGTGAATTTGTGGTAAAATAAGTAATAAAAGATAGTAATGGTAGATATTTGATAATTCAAGGTCAAATGGGGGGAGAAGATAAATGTGTATGCACCGAATATGATTCAAGGAGAATTCTACAAAACTGTGACTAAAGAAATTGAAAAGGTTAGGAAAGGATATGTGATTATGGCAGGAGATTTCAATATGGTTCTGGATAAGGTGAAAGACAAATCTACATATAAAAAAGATGAGTTGAATAAAAGGGGTACCCTCTTGGGTAAGATAATAAACACTACAGATTTGAAAGATATATGGAGAGAACTGAAGGGAGATGAAAGAAAGTTTACATATTATTCTGCTGAACATAATAGTTATTCTAGAATAGATTTTATGTTTATATCACAAAACTTAATTTCAAAAGTAGTAGACATGAATATTAAAGTGATAAAAATAACAGATCATGCGTTGATGTTGATGGAAATGAAAGTTAAGAAAGACTACAGAGAAGCCAGGAGATGGAGAATAGACTCCAATATTTTTCAGCATACAGAGGTGGTAGATAAAGTCAAGAAAGAATGGCTGGAAATATGGTCATTTAATG